CCCTCGAGGCTCGTTTGCATCTTTTTTCAACACATTTGACCACAACGACACAACTCGACACAGCCAACCCGACCCAAGAGAACTGTGCTCTCCTGGATACCCCAATCGGAGCAGGGACAGCCTGTCAGTGTCCTGGGCCTGACTTCTGACACAGAGTGAACTCAAACTATAGCGTGGCTTTGAGAAAATGGAATATAACGGATAAGGAAGATAACCGCAGAGGTTAGAACCAGGATCAAACAATTTGTATCAGTTTGATAGCAGAAAAATCTCACTATATTTTGTCCACCTCGATGGGTGATTGGGATGTGTTTCTCTTTCCTCCTTTTTCTGAATGGCTGTTTTAGTTTCTTCCTTCTCACTCCTTTTATTTGGGGTAGGTTGGAAGCAGATAAACTGTTTAGACCACAGAGACCCTGGACCTCACCTAAACTACTCATAACCTGTGATTCTGAGCCTTGCCCTGGATGCAGTAACTAGACTTCGAGCTGCAATACATGGGTGAGGGAATGAGATTAGATATATAACTTATTAACAGGAAGGGTATGTATTAATGTAGACTAGATAAAAGGATGGTCTGTGTAAAATAAAAACACTGGACTATACAACATCCATTTCAGTCCATATCCCTTTTCACCCTTTTTTCTCTATTAATGAAAATTAAAAATGAATATATCAAGTTTCTACTCCCATATAGTATCAGGTGGCCTCGTGACATTTCATTCAATATAATGTTAAGTGTTGTAGAGGTTTTCTATTTTTATCTTTTTCTGAATGGAAGGTAAATTCAATGCCTGGAAGCATAACAGCCACCTGTAATCAAGAGGACAAAAGCCTGCGTTCTGGAGGGTGGAACAGGAAAAAGCAGTGGTGAGGTAAGCGTGGACTTTAGAGAAAAGAGGCTGCTGAGGATGGTCTCTCTGTGACTTGCAGCAGAAACAAATCATATGGACACATCCTCACACTTACTGGCTGTGTAAACTTGAGGAAGTCATACAGCTATTGTGACTCATTTTTCTCATATATGAAACGAGGGCAATAATAAATCAGTTGGGAAACTAAATTTGTGAAGCCATGGGAAGGATTCCAAACAAACCTTCCACATATAAGTACTCAGTAAACAGCTGTCATCTGCTTTATCATGTGAGGAAAGTACTCACCAGTACTCAAAAAAAAAAAAAAAGAAAATATGGAAAACTGTTTCCATCTATCAAAATAAATAATAATTTGAAAAATGGTGTCAGTGACAGTGCAGTGATACATGCATTCTAATGTGTCACTGGTGGGACTATAAATTGGTACAATTCTTTAAGAAAATGGCAAATGGCAGAGGATTAAAAATTCTGAGGACTAGAATTCCCCAGTAATTCTACTTCTGGGAATTAGCATAGACAAGCCTTAAAAATATCATAGAATATTAAGAAAGAAGATGTTAACTGTACTGATGCACAAGACTGAAAATTTGGAAGCAATGGAAATGTCCAGAAATTAGAAATGCTTAACCATATTATAGTAATTTTGCTTAAATATATCAAATGTTATAGTCATTAAAATTGTGTTAATGAGGTGAATAAAACAGTTTGGAAAAACATGCCATAATATTAAGGGAAATATTGGTTGCATAATGGTTATCTATAGCATGAATGAAAAATTCATGCAAAAATAAGAAGTTTACCAAAATGTTCACATTGCTGATATTGGGATATAACACTGTTTCTTTCCCCTTACTTCACAAGTCCTCCATTTAAAAAATGTCCTGTAATGAATACTCCATCACTTGGGATGCTGCAAGCAACACAACTCGGAAGTCCAGGGCAGGCTGCATTCAGATTCAACAGGGCAGTGTCAGCAGAGTGCTGAGCCTCCAGGTAGTCTGACGTCTACGCTCTGTGTATCACGTGGGCTTCTTCCTCAGGCTGGTTCATCACATGGTTTCAGCAAAAGCAGTTGCCAGAAAATAGCACATGCTGACTGGCTGAGGGATGGCTCTCCGCAGTAAACAAATGCTGTTAGGAAGAGGGGACAAATGAGCTGACACCAGACAGGTGGACAATAATGTTTCTCCAAATTGCTACTATTTCAGTTTTTCAAACTAACTATTGCTTCCAAGATTTTGAAAGTTAAATTCAATTTATTGTAGAAAATTTGGAAAACAGAGGGTATCAAAAAACCTCACATATGATCCTACTACATTAGACAATTTTGTTAACATTTTGGTTCATTTTTTAAAAATTGTTAACAGTACTCTAAAACATTCCATCATAACTTACTATGGCATAATTTACTCAACCATTTCACTCTTTAGGTCATTTATGTTAATTCCATTTTTGTTATATATAATGTGGAGATTAATACTTCATATTTCATATTTCACCTGATGTCATATTTCACCTGATCTCAGATTTATTTTCTTAGGAGTTGCCTTTAAGTGAGATTACTAGACCTAACTTGTTAAGGCTCTTTTACATATTGTCAAATGAATGCATACTCCACATTTATAATGAGAAAAAATTTCTAATTAATAAACTACAAAATGGGAATATTTGCCCTAACTTCACAAGTCAATGTAAACAACAGATCATGGAATTAAAAAAAAGTTTTGTTAAAAGTAAAACATTATATAAATATATTTATATACAAACAAAAATAATAAACGCTTGAAACTGCCTTATTAAAGTTTTTAATTTTTTTCATACATACTGTCATCACTTTAAACAATTTTCAACATTCCATGACCTATCTGTTAATAAAAGCAACTTTTATCTTAACTATTAAAGTATTTATTCTCACAGAAGCTTAATAATCTATTAATTCAAAAGTTTATTAAACACATAACTACAAGGACTAAGAAACTATGAATACCCTAGTTAATGAATGTGGAAGACAAACACACAACTCAAATGTGATAAGTGATAAAATAGAGCAAAGAACATTTCACTATGGGAACCCAGAAAAAGAAGTAATGAATACTTCCTTTTCTTCTCCTATTTTGTCCTCTGCTTTAATTTCTACAAATTGTTCCGCTTTGCCTGACTTTTACAATCTTATCTTATTCAACCCTCACAAATGTATGTGGTTTTATTTCCTTTCTACTTTCATTAACTAGAACTCCACTTTAATCTTGCCTGTTGTTTGTCTATTCTTCGCCAGATCACTTCTCTTTTCTTGGTCAGATTCTGATCTCCAGTGTCTCTCACCAGTGCTAAAACTCGGCCTCTGCTTTCTCAGCCTGTCTAGCTAATAAGCTGACACTGTTCCTGCCTCAGAAAAATGTTTGATAAGTTAATTCCTCAGCATTTTTAAGTAATAGGAAAAGACTAATACAAACTTAGGGAGTACAAAGGAAAGAACCTGCATTTTAATTCATCGTATTATACAATTAAGGAATTTGGAAAACTTTAGGAGATTGCACTGTTTGTGGAGATGGAGACTTGGCAGGTCTTTTATTAGTCACAGAAAATGTGCTAGAAGAACATAACTCACTCAAACAGTATCATGGAAAATATGTTATTTGCTAGAGAAAAGAAGGCTCTTGGAAACCTCCAAAATCACATGAAAATGATTACATGATAATTAGGAAAGTCCAAATGGATTTTTAGGAAAACATCACCGGGACTAACAAAGAAACATAACTTCTCTTTCCTTTGTATTTGTGTGAGAATTACAAGGTCGTATCTGTCCATAGGGTGAACAAATGGGAGAATGATTTATTAACCAGCCAATTTTAAAAAGCCTAATAGGTCCTTGATGTAAGTAAACTTTATCCTGTTAATGTGTTGCACAGTTGTGTTTAGATCCAACCTGTGCGTAAACTTGCCATTTACCAGGGTTTATTGTCTTAAGAAAGAAAATATGAAGAGAAAAACAGGGAATGTCCAAGAAACAGTATGAAGTGATATAAATAAAACAGTAATAGATGTGAAACTCCTAATTTTGCAAGTTACTCGTGTATTTTTCCTGGTTCTTAAACCTTAACATTTTTGGTAATTTGTCATATTCAAATACAGCGTCCCAGGGTGAGAGAAAGTAAGCTCTGTGGTGGGGGCAGTGGTGACTGTGACATAATGCTTTAAGAGTGAAAGAAATGAAATAAGAGTTATGATAATTGATTGATTCTTTTCTCTACAGGTGTTGTCAGGGAAAAAAATTGCTTCGTTTTTCTTTTTTTTTACATGTTGTGAAAGTTCAAATATGAACTTAAGCACATACGATTACTCCATCCTAAAATGTCAAAAAAGGTAAAAGACTTTAAACTGAAATGTTTAGGATGGCTATATTGAGCTATATTAAAAACCATGGTGTTACTGGGAGTAGATCTTACTAAATAAAATGGCTAAAAATTGCAATAGTAAGACTCACAGTCTTTTAAAAAAGTTACTTCGAACCATGAAAGATCAAACTAGAAGGAATGAAATCCCATAAAATTAAATCAAAGGAAAGAAACAAGCTGAAATTAAAATGACTGTGGAAGAATACAGTTCCTGAGATTGGTCAACATATAAAACAGAATGGGGTATTTGGTAAAACTTCTGAAATTCCTTTTGGGCTAAGTTGATAGAGCATATTTGAAACCATTTTTAAAAAGCAGTGACCTAACATTTATCCAGATATCTGTTTTGCATTTCTACAGGCTTTTTTCTGTGCTCAGTTTAGTAATACAATTTTCTAAAACTCAGGTTCCCTGTACAAAAGAATAACTAGTCGTTATTTGTATCACAGCTTAATTTTCACCCCATAGGAATAAAGATTTCTTCCCTCCCTGTAAAAAAAAGCAGTGATCTAAAATATTTTCAAGTCATATGTGTAGGTCTGGCATTATGAATAAAGATTACTGGATGTTCCATTCATAAAGCATTTGGACAAACAGTGTTTCAATTAAAATGATGACACCATTGTTTTGTAAAATCTTTAATTTTGGCATAATAGTGGTTTGTTATACATTAATATTTCAAAATATACTTTTGTGTTTAATAAACCACCAAAGAACTCAAAATAATGGTCTATAAGCATGTTTTTGCTCCAAACACCAGGCTGCTATTGCATTGAAGACAGTGAATTCCATCACGGGGGTTGTATGATCCAGGGCTGCAGATTACTGTGAATAAAAGATAAGTTAATGAGTAACTTGTTTCCTCAAATGCCACATAATTTAACTTTACATGGGGGATACATTTTCAAAGAAAATTTAGTTCTAAAGTTTTTGTTTTGCTTTTAATTGTGGTATAATACCACAAGTAATAGTAGTAAAATAGATAAGAAAAAAATCTACCATCTTAACTAACATCCTTAAGTGTACAGTTCAGTAGTGTTAAGTATTCATGTTATTGTACAACTAATCTGTAGAACTTTTTCATCTGGGAAAAATTAGTTCTTTATCTCCCTATTGCCACCTCCCCTAGCCCCTGGCAGCCACCATTCTACTTGTTTCTAGGAGTTTGACTGCTCTAAATACCTCATACAAGTGAAAATTTTTAAGTTTTCACTCTGATCTTGGCTTAGACCAAGACTATGACCTCGAATAGTTTTACTGATCAAGTAATGAGTTGAGAAGGCTGACTGGGACATCCCAAAAGTTACAGCAGAAGCCACAAGAGGTCAAGACCATAGGTGGAAATAAACATGACTATCAGATGGCCCACAATAACCATGCTTCAGATGTACAGGGAGTACCAAATACGGGAGGGAAGTGTATCGTATTTCTAATAATCTCCTGCTTTCAAATATTTCTGTCACTTGTTAAATGTGTAATTTTGGAAAAATGACATAGCCTAACAACTCAGTTTGAGCATCACTAACATGGATAATATCATCATGAATATGTTACCACAGTCACTTCTGCATGGCAGGGAGTAAAGAAGGGTAGAGACACCAAAGCCAAATACATTCGCTGTCATGCATTAACTTCGGGGCTCTGGGTAGTCAATTCTCTTAGCTCTAGTTTCCTCATTTGTAAAATAGGCACAAGAAACACCAAGTCCATACTCTTATGTGAGAACTGAAGTCACATGACTTGGATGAAAAGGCACCCGGGCACCCCAGGCAATTACTAAGTGCCTAACCCTGTGTGCTGCAGGACCAGGGTAGGGGCAGGGAGGTCAGATGACACCACTGGATCCTCTGATTGGACGGGAGTCTTTGATTATCCTGTTCCTCCTGTTCCTACTACGAACGTAGTCAGCAAAATTCAGAGATGTTGATAACACATCTAATACATTGTTGTTATGGGCTACTGAAGATTCTTTTTCTAGCACCATGATTCAATAATACATGTCAATATTTGGATGTGGGCCACATTAAATGGTGTAATTTCCTACTGTTCTTTATTAAAATATGTATTTCCAAACTGGGAAATACATTAACTATTATGCAGAGACAGTATTTTCCATTTTAGGTTTCACAGAGTTTTTCAAGTTTAATAGACATTTTATTGGGGGAATAATGTTTCAGATGAAAAAAATATTGGTTAAACATAGTTAAATAGATTTGCTTCAATAATAACAAGAGTGTTTAAAGTGGCAATGTATGTGATAAAATCTTAATGGTGTAAAATAATGTTTCTCAAAGGTATGTGCTTTACTCTCAAAACACATATTAATGTTTCTTGAAGCACAAATATGGGAATTCTGAGCAAAGATTTATTTAAAGTCTAAAATCATTACACATGGAGAAGAGAAATCTTCATGCAGTCTTTACCCATACTTTACACCAAATGTCACAAACAGAACTGATACTAGCATAAAATCATCTCAATCCAAGTTAAATAAATATGATCCTTTAATAAATATGCTTAGAATTAACAAACCTTCCCAACACAGTATGTGTAATACCATAGAATCCTTATTTATAACACTCTTTCCTAGAATATATCCTAAAGTATTTTGTTCTCTTTTAAGTGGAATTGAGGGAAAATGTTCAAATGTTATTTAAAGTACAACATTAGTGAAGTTATCTTCCAGGTTTGGGTCTCACTGAGTCTTCCAGGTACAGTTATGAGAATAGCTTGATTAAATCTCCATTATATCAATGAGAGAGAGAAGCATTAGCGACTGGTCAGCACTGACATACCAAAAACTGATGAGCAAGCACAGGGAAAAAAATCTTCATGAATTTTATTTAGAGAGGGAATAATTTCTTAAAAAAATAGGTGACTAACCACAATCAAAAACATTTGATACATTTATTATTAAAATTAAGAATAAAAAAATTGCAAAGTAACAATAGTGAAGCAACAAAACTGGGAAACAGCTGCAGTTATATAACAAACAGATAACTATTTAAAATATATAAACAATTCATACAAATCAATGAGAAAAGGAAAACTAATGTTAAAAAGGCACAAAAGAGAAAATATAAATGTCCAACTAATGTCATTTTTATTAAGCTACAAAAAATTTCAAACATAGGAACAATTTGGGAAATACACTGAGAATTTTATCAGTAAGATGGTGAACTTCCAAGCTCCAGGCTCTCTGCTCTCCCCTGGAAACATCAGATAAACAACTAGAGACTGGCTAAGATAACTTCATAGGAGCTCAGGAAATCAAAGATGAACACTTATATGAATGCCCAATCAAGAAAAAGTCATGTTCTTCATGGTAGGGATTTGTGGCAATTTTACTCATCCTTGCCCCACCGCTCTGTAATACGGAACCATGTGCTTTGTCAGGGAGCAGCAGCCCATTGCTTGGTTCCATCCCACGAAGCAGCGGGAGCAGAGCACACTGAACCGGCCCTTGCTGATGGCCACTTGAGGGATTGGCCTCTGCTTGCAGATTTTAGAGCCAGTCAAATGTCAGGCTAGGGGAAGCCATGGGCACATTTCTGAAAACCACACAGTGATTACAGACCCACAGACACCTGAGCAAAGAGATTAGTGATTGGGGAATATGATAGAACATATAAGAACAACAGAAGAAGTAGTATGAGACTCTTAGGGAAATTAAGACTTATAAGAACACCCAAGTATACAGAGGAATCAGAAAAAAGCACAAACATAGGACCAAAAATATGGAAAAAGTGATCAATAGAGAGACTAGTAATTCCTGTAATGATCAATAATCATTAATAATGAATAGTAATCATTAGAGAAATATGAATCAAAATAACAATGATATATCACTTCATACCCATTAGGATGGACATTATAAAAATAGAAAGAAAATGCAAGTGTTGGCAAAAATGTGAAGAAACTGGAAAACTTGTGCACTGTTAACGGGAATGTAAAATGGTGCAACTGCTATGGAAAATAGTATGGACACTCTTCAAAATATTAAAAATAGAGTTCCCACATGATCCAGCAATCACACTTCTGGATATATAGTGAAAAGATTGAAAGCAGGATGTCAAAGGGACATCTGCACACCCACATTCTTTACAGCATTATTCACCATAGCCAAGAAGTGTAATCAATCCCAAGTGTCCACTGATGGATGAATGGATAAAGAAAATGTGAGATATATATGTGTGTGTGTGTGTGTGTGTGTGTGTGTGTGTGTGTGTGTGTGTATACACACACACACAGACAATATTATTCAGCCTAAAAAAAGAAGGAAATCTTGTCACATACAATATGGACAAACCTTGAGAATATTATGCTAAGTGAAATAAGCCATCAAAAAAAGACAAATAGTGCATGATTCGACTTACAGATGTATCCAGAATAATCAAACTCCTAGAAACAGAAAGAACTGTGGTTGCCAGGGGCTAAGGGAGGGGGAAATGGGAAATTACTGAATATATATACAACTTCAGTTTATGAAAAAGTTATAGGTATCTGTTTCACAGCAATGTAAATAAAGTTAAGACTATTGAACTGCATATTTAAAAATGGTTACAATATTTGATTTTATGTTATGCGCTTTTTACTAAAATTTTTTTAAAAAACAACAAAACATAAGAAAACAAAAACCTCCCAACAAATAAAAGGTCAGGATGTCTTCATAGATTAATTTTACCAAATATTTTAAAAAGCATTAATCTCAATCCTTCTCAAACTCCTGTGAATCACTGAAGAGAAAACTTCTAGACTTAATCTATGAGGTCAGAATTGCCCTATTACCAAAATCACACAAAGATTGTATAGGAAAACAAATAATGGATCAATATCCCTTATGAATATTAATGGAAAAATTTTCAATGAAATACAAAACCAAATTTAACAGCGTATTAAAAGGATCATACAACATGACCACTTAGGATTTCTTTCTAGAATGCAAGGATGGTTCAATATATGAAAATCAATGTAATATACCATATTAACTGAATGGGGGAAAAGTCCCGCATGATCATCTCAATTGAGGCAAAGCATTTGACACATTCAACATCATGTTATGACAAAAGCTACCTTCAGCAAATTTCAATTGTACAGAGAAGTATAATCAACTATAGCTACCATGTTACACATTAGATTCTCAGACTTTCATCTCATAGATGAAAGTTTGTACCCTAGGAAAGTAGAACTTAAATATACTCATCAAAAAGTAAATAAAAGAGAGAAAGTTTAAATATATGAGATGGATGTGTTAATTATACAAGAGGAATCCTTTCCTAACATATATGTACATCAAATCATCATGATATACACTTTAAATCTTACAATTTTGTCCACTATCTCAATAAAGCTGAAAACGTATGATAGGAACATAAGTGAAAGAGCACAAGGAAAAGTAACCAAGTGAAAAGGAGTTTTGGAGTGAGTTAAATTTGGTCCCAAATTCTCATTTTTCAATTATCTTTATGAACACATCAATTATCCTAGGATTGCTGTGATTCAAATTCCTTGATTACAGTATTAGTATAATCCCTATGTCAAAAAGATATTTGATGCTTAGGAAAACATTGGCCAAACTTTTAGCAAGTCTTCAGTTATTATTTAAAGAATCACTGAAATGTATAGTTCTGTGAGGTAAGCAGAGCCTATTGTTGTTGTCTGAAATGTAGTCAGCACTCAGTGTAATAGGGAGAGAACCAAATTCTGTGTTCTCTTCATTCTTGAGCACTTATAACAAAACTGTATCATCCATCTGACCTTTACTACATTTAGTCGTTGGAGCTATATTTTCATATGTATTATAATTATATCCAATTAGATTATAC